TCTCTCTCTCTCTCTCTCTCTCTTTTGTTCTTGAGACATGGTCTCACTCTGTCACTCAGGCTAGAGTACAGTGGCGCAATCTCAGCTTATTGCAATCTCCACCTCCTAGGCTTAAGCAATCCTCCCACTTCAGCCTCCTGAGTAGCTGGGACCACAGGTGCATGACACCACTCAGCTAATATTTTCGTATTTTTGGTAGAGACAGGGTTTTGCCATGTTGCCCAGGCTGGTCTCAAACTCCTGAGCTCAGGCAATCCACCTGCCTAGGCCTCCCAAAGTTCTGGGATTACAGACGTGAGCTGCCATGCCAAGCCACGAAGCTGTTTTTAATTTTACAAAAAAATATTTACCTTCAATGGGAAGGCACAGGCTAGATTAGCTATCAGGTTCCTTTGTTTTGGTCTGGAACTTTATTTACTCTACTCATTATCCCATAATGATCAGAAAGCTCAGAGTGTTAAGTAACAGATGCAGTGGATAGATATCATGACTGAATGAGCGCAAGGTAAGAATTTCAGACTGGTAGACAAAATAATACAAGAGATTGCAGCTCCCTTTGTGTTAAAACAATTGGGAACTAGATTGAAAGATCAGTTAAAAATGAAGCAAATGGGCTGGGTGCCGTGGCTCATGCCTGTAATCCCAGTACTTTGGGAGGCTGAAGCAGGCGGATCACCTGATGTCAGGAGTTTGAGACCAGCCTGGCCAACATGTTGAAACCCGTTATCTGCCACCTTACACAGCACAGGTGCTTTTTTCCAAAAAAGTTACCATCTTGCTTTGAACGGGAATATTCTGTGTACCCCCTTATGCAGCCCCGAGGTGGAATTCACCCAAATGCGTTTCTTTTGTTATCATGATGAAAGGACTATGAAATGTTAACATTGGGACGTTTCAGGACTGTCACACTATGTCTATTTTCTAGGTGAATGCAGAGGGGATATAGAGCTGTCCCATCCTCTGGGTAGAAATGGTAAACATGAGGCAGGTAGACACAAGGAGATGTGTGTTCAGTTTTCCCTATTTATCACCATCTCTGTCAAGAACTTTCCCAAACCACAGTCCAGGTGTATCTTCTGACAGTCTCCCAAAGTATGCAGAGAAGATTTAGGTTATAAACAGTGGTGCTCAAACCTTGTGAAGTCCTTGTTCTCATTGCATAATAGGTATGCAATTGGCTAACTATTATTAGATCATTAACACACAATCTTGGCTGTATGTTGGAATCACTGGGGATTTAGACACTACAGACACCTGGCTCTACCCTCAGAGGCTC